ATGTTTCTTCAATCATAATTTAATGTTTGTTCCTGCATCATCATGTATTGCAATTAAGATATAGTAGAATTCTACCATGTTTCGTACTCATTCCACGAACAGCTTCCGACTGAATCCACTCCACTCGCCCTTGATTCTCTTTGCTATTCTATGTATGTGTATGCTGTGATATTGGTATGTATAATATAGCGCTCGCAAGTGTAACTTAGTTCCATTATCAACCATGTGATGTCTATCACTTTGTAATTAAGCGATTAATTAAATTAAGTGATTATTTAAATTAATTGTCGAAATTATATATTGTGCCTATGTTAAGATTTATGATATTTTTATTAAAATTTTAGCAATTTTAGCATAACTTTAATTCTTCGCCTTTAAATAGAATTTATCAAATTTGGACATCAAATTAATAATGCAAATAATCCTTCAGTTCTCGGAAGTATTTGTTTTCATGATTCCTATATAAGAATAGAATATAGATGAGTATTTTGGATCCTCTATAGACGTAGAGGATCGGTAGGATAGTCTGATATTGGTAAAAAGAAGTATTTCTTGTCCCTAATCTGGTAAATTAGAACAGGTCAACATTTTGATTTAATCATCAAAATCTTTATTCAATAGTTTCAATACAGGCTCAGATACAAAAATAATAATAAAACTGTGTTTCAATATAATAGGTCTCGCAGAGGTTAAACTCCGCAGGCTAGAATTAGAGGCAATAACAAAAAAAAGTCTGAAAAAACAGACTTCTCTTAAAAAACAGACTTGGAGTATTCATATGGCTACCATGAATACGTCCATTGTCAAAAAAAAAAACAAAAATGTAAATAAACTAAATTAATCAATAAAATAACTTATTATAACTTAAGGTATATTGACTTAAAATAATTAATTTATACAAATAGTAAATACTAACTTAATAAAACCATAACAGTTATTGCTCGTGTTGCGATATTCATGAAATACTGAATGTCTAGTTCATATCTATACTATTTCAGTATTACGCGAATATCGGAACAAAGCTAATTGAAAATAATACTTTTCTAGTCCATAGAATTAAGAGTAAATACTCTACTTACCAGACTTACTATGTTGAAAGTTGAAAGCAGTTTGAGATCTGTTATCAGGAGCCATTGGACAGGAAGCGCTCAATAGATATTATTCTTATTCAACCAGTAACATTGACTACTTTTTTGCGTTCAGCATACGCAACAGTTTTGCTGTTCAAAAATTTTTATGACTGTCTAGTCTAAAAATCGACTCGAAATGCACTCAACATCTCGCAACACGTTTATTTAACGGTCGCCATCATGATGGAAGAAGAAAGATGAGTCACTACCATTATTCACCATGGTGAAGGAAATCATGGAGAAACTGGAGGACCACCATGATGGAAGAGATACCACAGTTGGTACCATCAGCTCGATTATTATCATAGTCGGTATTTGCGCAGATAAATTGATGAGTGATTGCAGATAAATTCGTGGAATTACTGAAAGATAAAAAGCTTTAAAGTCTTGCGACATCCGCGAGAGATCAATTTCTCACTTGGTCGTCGTTCGCGGAAGAACGTGACAGCTTTTATTCGTGTATATATGTATATAATATTGCAGTGTACTCCTATGCGTTAAGCGTTTTCCTTTCGCTCTCGTTCTCCACTACACGTAAAAGACCGCGACTTGCAGTGCCGTGCCCTCGACAATTTTTGCGCGATATGCGAATTTGTCTGAATATGTAATATTGGTAATTATACAGTTTAGCAGAATCATCTCAAAAATCAATAAAATTAGACTTATTTGATGTGTTTTTGAATGAAATGAAAGAATCTAACATCAGAAATAAACATCGCTCTGCCCCACGAACCGAGATATTAAGCGTTATAGTTGGAGACTTTAGAGGTTAAGATACTTGTCCTCCCGACTTGATACATGCTCCGCTATGTATTTTATATTAATTACGCAAATTCACTGCTTTAAGCACACAATTTTTTTCCATTAGCAGAGAATTTGTTTTTAAAGCAATGAATTTGTATAAAGCAGAACGTATAAGTAATGCTATATCGAATCAGAATGAGAGGTATTTAATCTCTAAAATCTCTAACTTTAAAACTTAATAACTCTATTCACAAGGCCGACCGTCGCATTTTTTTTGCCAGATTCTTTCATTTTGAGTGAAAACGCGTCGAATGAATATATTTTTATTAAAATTTTAGATAGAGAGGCTATTCTAAATAATTTTATCCAAGGCGTTATATACTTCGTAGAAGAAAGATTGAAGACGTAACTTTACTATCCAGTGAAGCAACATATTTTCATACTTCAACTCATATTGTATTTGTTTACATAATTCTATAATGATTTTTCTAATTAGAGGACCGAATGAATAAGTTTCCAACAGAGAGAGATTGTTAATTATTGTTAATTCTCATTTGTAATACATTTTTATGTTACTATCTGTGTAAATTGCATCATGACGCTTGTCGAATACGTACAAGCTCTGTCTGATAATCCTTACTTCGGTGCTGGCTTTGGTTTATTTGGCCTTGGAGCTGGAGCTGCCTTGTTGAGGAAAGGCGTTCAGGTTGGAGCTGTATTATTTAGGTACAATTATAAACACTTGCTTTAGTTATAAACACAGCAAACTTTTCATAATATTTATTGTATTTGTTATGTACAGTTTGTTTATTTAATTTAATATGTTACTTTTTTATTAGACGACATTATATGATCACTCTGGAAGTTCCATGCCGCGATAAGAGTTATCAGTGGCTTCTACAATGGATCACGTACAAAGGCGCACGAAAGACACAACACCTCTCTGTGGAAACCAGCTTCGAACAGAGGGAGACTGGTCATGTAAAAACCAAATACGACTTTATTCCTAGCATAGGAACTCACTTTTTCAGGTCAGGATATGACCAAATTTTTCAAATGCTGATACTTTCTGCTAAAAAATAAAATTTAGTGACACAAGTCGACATAAACATCATTCTATTTTTCTTGATATTCAAATGCATTGAATAACGAAGATATTATAATAGTTTCATCAAATGAAAAGCACTCTACATTAATTTATTTTAAATTAATTTATTTCAAACTAAAGCTATTTCTCCGACTTGACTATCTTCAATATCTTTCCTAATTTCTACAGATATAAAGGCAACTGGATAAAGGTAGAAAGAACTAGGGAGCAACAGACTTTAGACTTACATATGGGCATACCATGGGAAACTGTGCAGTTGACGGCGTTTGGCAAAGACAGGAGCATATACTTTAATATTCTCGAAGAAGGTTGAGTTGTTAAAATATTTACAGACACATTACGTAACATCAGAAAATCAGAGGCAATTCTTAATTCGTATAGCCAGACAAATGGCTTTGAAAGAACACGAAGGAAAGACTATAATGTATGTTGCCATGGGGAGTGAATGGCGACAATTTGGACATGCCAGAAAGAGAAGACCGCTGGAATCGGTGGTCCTAGATACCGGTGTCTCCGAGAAGATATTAAACGATTGTCGAGAATTCATCAATAATCCGTCGTGGTACAGTGAAAGAGGTATCAAATTTAATAGCATGTTCAGTTCAGCCATTTGCATTACAGTAGATTAGATAGTGCACACTAAAAGCAACTAGATGAAATTAATGAAGTTAATGTAAAAGTATATAAAAATATTTTAAATATCCAATAATGGTATTGTTTTGTTATTTAATGCTAGAAAAAGTTATTATCGACCATTTCTATTTTTTAGTTTAATAATATTCTTGTGTAAAAGATAGGATTCTAAAGTTTTTAATTTTTAATTAATTATGTCTTTTATACTAACAAAATAATTTTTCATTATTTTCTTTGTTTTCATAATAATTTATTCGCTTGTTCTTTTTAGTGAATAAGAAACGGTAATTCTAGTGTTAATAAATTTCAAAATTAATTATGCAACTGCATTTAGATATTTTATGTAAAGTAGTCTTTATGCATATTGATTTCGTGTTCTACTTTCTGCTCTTAAACACAAAACGTCCATAGCAGATCGAAAAAACGATGCTGCATGCATATATTTTTCCAAAAATTAAGAACTACAATCTTTCTAGGGATACCATATCGCCGGGGCTACTTGTTACATGGACCTCCGGGATGTGGCAAGTCCTCGTATATTACCGCGTTGGCCGGGGAATTGGAACGCGGCATTTGTGTTTTAAATTTATCTGAAAGAGGTCTGACGGATGATAGACTGAATCACTTATTAGCAGTAGCACCACAACAAACGATCATCCTGCTGGAGGATATCGATGCCGCTTTTACCAGTAGAGAAGATTCTAAAGAAGGTAGAGACAACTTTTATGAAGTACAAAACAAGATATTAGAACAATAAATAAATTAGTCATATTTTGCTTTCAACTTCAGTTAAGGCAGCGTACGACGGTCTCAATAGAGTAACGTTCAGTGGTCTATTAAACTGTTTGGATGGTGTGGCTTCTACAGAAGCTAGAATATTATTTATGACGACTAATTATTTGGATAGATTAGACCCTGCGCTCGTTAGACCAGGCAGAGTCGATGTAAAAGAATATATCGGTACGTATAGAAAAATAACAGACTAGAGATATAATTAACTAACTTAAATAATTATTTCGATGGTATCTTTCAGGATGGTGCAGTACAAATCAGGTTGAGCAAATGTTTTTAAGATTTTACAAGGAACCGGACAAGGATTCTGGTGTACTTGCAAAGGAATTTGCGAACAGCGTTATGTCCTTCAAGAAAGACGTCAGTCCGGCACAGATTCAGGGATACTTCATGTTCCACAAAAGTAACCCCAACGCGGTCGTAAATAACATTTCACAAATCTGGGAACTCACGTGATAAAAAGTAAAATTATAGTTATAATTCGAAATAAAGCTACATGTGATCATGCAGTTGATTAGATTAATGTTCTCTTTCTGCACAGAAAAGTACATTTATATTATTCTCAAAGAAAAAAAATCAGTTTACAGTATGGATAATGAGTCTAGTAATTATTTTTATTTTCCTTTATAAAACAAATACAAAACGGGATGGAGATCTCAATGGAAGTAGCTGAAAATATTTCTATTAATCGTGTAATATGTACAATACGTGATGATATTATCGTTGACGTAATGTCATGTATTGTAAAATACAACGGGTCACATTCTCACTCGATATGAGTACGTAATACTCTATTATTTAATATCAATACATGAAGGAAGATGAACATTTGAAATACCAACGAAATTTATCTACATATCTCACACATTTTTCGTGTAACTAGTGCACTACTTTGCATTTGTACCACCGGTAATTGTATGCGGACGAATATCAATGCTGCTTTGTTTCAAAAAAATTATATAACAAATACAATCTTTAATTGGATGCTGCATTAAAAGAAAAAATTGTGTATATGAAACGATATAAAACTTATGATAATGTAATGGTATCATAAAAAATTCATTAAAAAATTTGTGTACGAATATCATAGAGAAAAGGAGTTTGCACATTGGATGTATTTTGACAGCCTGCTTAAAATTGATTTGCTACACTTTTCTAATTGAAACGTGCCAATTTGTACTATAGTTTTAAAGTAGATTCATATATATTAATTAAATATAGAATATATACTATGTAAAATCATTTATATATAACTCTCACAAAAAAAGGATCGAATAGGAGTTATATATCGAAAATAGATCTATCACTGGATTCGTTCAGAAGTTTCTTGAATTTTCTATTTTACATAACTATTATTAAGTAGTTTGTATGCCAAATCAGCCGATATTTGTGTAAATTCATTTGATATTCAGATCATGTTTTCTTTCAGCTGTTAAAGATATTTACAACATAAATGTTAAAACCCTTCAATTGAAGTTTGATCGCATTGTATAAAAATCAATTTTTAATATACAATAATTTAATTATGACTGCACATTATTTAAAGAGACGATATTTAGCAAAATAAACGTGATGTACGTCTTTGCTCTACTTGCTCTATACGATTCTATATGTACATATTATAGTCTTCATGTTGATTTAAATTGGTCTAAATGCTGTATGGTATTATAAAAGTTTCTCTTTAAAGTCAATAATTTTTTCTTAGATATAACAATAAAATTATCGAATTTTCTTCTTGCACATGCATAGACGTATCTTCTAATATTGCAATTTATGTATAAATTAAATCGCGTACATAAAAGTCGTAATGTTAAAATATTTATCTTAATCGTATTAACAAAATCTCTGCATCACTGATTCTCAAATGTTTTCAATTGTCAGAATCCTTTTCATAAAAACATAATTTTACGATGCTCTAATAAATGACGGAGTTTGTTCAAATACAATTAAACTTTTCAATTTTCAATTTTTTTTCCTACATATGCGGTTCAGATTGTCATACTGATGTGTCTAAAAACTCCAAATATACGGCTCGTAATTTAGAGGGTCTGTTTGCTCCATGTGACTGGCGTGACTACTGCCGCCGACCATGCACGATGGATAGGCGACACCGGAATTGCTCGGGCCCGACACAGGTGGAACTATCGGTGCCATTCTGCAGTCCGGTCTCTGTTGCATTATTGGACCCATCGACATCAGTTGTGGTGCTGATGGTGGCGGAGGTGGTTGCGGTTGCGGCAGTGCGGGAGGTGGTGCGGCAATATTATGCACCGGTTGCATTATGTTAGGACCCGAAACATAATTTCCCACTAAAAAGTGATTTAAAGAAATTATTATAGTTTTTTTTCTCATATGTGTATATTATTAGAAAATATTATTATTATTACTCAACACTTACTGTTTCCAGGATTATGGAACGGTAATGGAGGTTGTTCCTGTATTATGTTTGCCGGAGGTGAATTTGCTTTTGGTGGTGGCGGCGGCTCGTTACTCTTCTTTTTCCGCATGATACGTTTTTGACTGTTATTCATTATCTGATTACGTTTCTTATCACTACTCTTCTTCTTTTTTTCTCCCGGCATTTTCGGTTTGTTAGGACGATTACCACTTGGCTGCCACAAATGGACTGTGTGAACTGCATTGCCTTCGCTAAAAAAAAAATACATAACATTTTGTTTTTATGTTACAAAAAATGTTTCGCAATTAGAATACGTTTTAATTATAGAAATATATTTCTCAACAAATTCAATCTCTTTTTAGAAGTTCCTAAAGAACATTTCAAAAGAAAAATTATACAGATAATTTGTCTAACCCTTGCTTTTTGCCCAACTTCCAGCTGTGTATCCCAGCTTTGTGAAGCCTCTCTCTAATTGTATCCACGCTGCATTTAAGACCTAGTGCAGGTGCTACATATTTAGCGGCGGTGAGAGGATGCTGAGTAGCCATCGCGACGATGGCCTCGTCTTGTTCCTTAGTAGTAATTCTACGTCGACCCTTTCGTTCCTTCGTTTGTACATTGCCTTCCTTATGCCAACGTTCTAACCATCTTTTAACAGTACGTTCCTGATTAATTCAAAATCACGTCCATGTAAATCTTTTGTGTTAACTTTCTTGAGTTTGTAATACAACTTTCATAACTATTCACATATAATCTAGAGATTTACAATAGATGAGATGTACAATATATGAATTATGTCTAGGTTAATTTAAAATCTAGTAAGAGCAATATATTTTCGACATACCGATCTATCGATCGCCAGCGCAATGGACAAGGTGGACAGTCCAGCCTCGGACATTCCGATCATACGATTCCTGATTTCAACGCTAGTCTCTAACGTTCCCTTCGCTTTGCCGCCTTTCTTCGTTTTCTTCTGCCGTTCCGATTTCTGGCCTTTGTGTGACGATTTCTTATTCTGTTGACATTCGCAGGATGACTCGCTATTAGAACGACTGATTCTTAAAACGAATGAATCGCCAGAACTGCACGTGTCCGATCCTACGTTCTCGTTCGTCTGCTCGGGACTAGGACGTCTGCCGGACTGCAAGTGCTGATGTTGTTGTTGAATCTGATGCTCCACGGTCAGTCGCTGCTGATCGAGACTGTGATGATGAGACTGAGTATTCTGCTGATGCGATTGCTCCTGCAGTCGCGTCTGTACTTGTGCCTGCACGTGCTGCTGAGCCTGTTGCGCGTGATGTTGCTGCTGTTCCTGCTGTGTGTGCAGCTCTTGCAGTTGCGTCGGCGGCGGTGGATGCTCGTGAGGCAAGGGATTTGGTTGTCCCTGTAGGTAATATACAAGCATTATATTATACATGCATATTGTCTTAAAAATAATTCTCTCTTAGTAATAAAAAATGAACCTGTGGATAATGATGACTTCCTTGTACCAAATCCAACGGCCAATTTTGTACCATGTTCAATCCTGGATGTTGATAGATGGGCTGCGGTTGTTGCACTAGACTTAACGCGTTGCCAAACTCTGTCTGACTTGTGGATACAGAGGGTTGCATTTCGGTGACTTGAGGAGCGGAAGGCAGTGGAGGAAGATTTTGCTGAGGAAACACGAATTCTTGTTGTTGTTGTTGTTGTTGTTGTTGCTGCTGCTGCTGCTGCTGCTGCTGTTGTTGTTGTTGCTGTTGTTGCTCAGTGTTTTGATTCTGCTTTAGACTTTCCGTTGGTGCACCATCGTCCACGTACACCTCTCGAGATCTTACTTTTTTCGATGGATTCTTCTTTTTAACCGTAACATTCCTCTCAGACTTGTTCGAGTCTTTGGGAGTTTTCTTTTTACCTAATTGGGTGCCGGTCGGTCGCCATACCGCCTGTTGAATCGCTGCGCCGTCTGCATCACTAGAAAATTAATCCCATAATCAGAGAACAGATACTAAAATTATTATTTAGAACTATTCTTATAAACAGAATGCTTGCTTTTTCATATTTAAAATCTGAGAGATTCTACTTAAACAATTTCGAATTGAAATAAGGTCTGTACGCTTGTTATAATCTTTATACCAAGTATAAACTGAAGGACAAAAGTAGAAACCCATTGAACTTGATGTCTTTAATGTATTTCTAAACGTATTATTATTACATGTTTTAAGATTGCAAGACAATGACTGTTCTTTTCAATTGAAACCTTTGTAAACATTTTTTTTCTCCAACATGGAAAAAAAAGGAAAAAGATGAACCTTGCAAAAAGATTAATTAAAAAGAATAGAGACCTAATATTTAAAAAAATCTAAACTAGAATGTACTTAAAAATATTAACCCCAATGGAATCCTTTGCATGTATTTGCGCGAGGGGCTCCAATTGTGGATTCCAGCTTTGTGCAGCCTTTCTCTCACGGTATCCACAGAACAGGTGAGACCTAACGCAGGAAGCACTGCCTTCGCCGCCGTTATGGGCGTTTGAGTGGCTAAACGAATTATTGCTTCGTCTTGTTCTACAGTAGTGGCTCTCTTGCGTCCGCAACGCTCCCGTGTCTCTACCGTGCCTTCCTTGTCGAATCTATTCAGCCATCTCTTCACTGTACGTTGCTGAAAACAATTAAGATGTTAACAAGTGTATTCTTATTAGGCAGTGTCGTGAACATTCAACAAAGCCACAATACATTAAGATTCCAAATTAAGGAATACTGTCCACTTCTATCAATGTCAAATAAGTTTTTATTTAAATAAGATTTAATTTATCGCTCTCTATCTTCTTCTAGTGAACAGTAAAATTGGATCACTTCGTAGAATGACTAATACCAATTTCTACCAATGTAGATTAACTTAAATCTCGGTTCAACTTACTTTTTGTCTTTTTCTAATCTTTAGAATTAAAAAAATACGAAGAGTAAGTTGAACTGAGATTAAAGTTAATCTACGTTGGTGGAAATGGATATAATTGATGCAGATTAACTTTAATTTCGGTTCAACTTATTCTTAAAAAAACAAAAAATAAGCCAAACTGAGATTATTTTTATATATTTTCTTTCAGTTCTAAAAATAAAAAAACCATATCTTTTTCTAATTCTTAGAAAACTAGAAGAAGATAAGTTAAACCTAGTTTAAAGCTAATTTACATTAATAGAATTAAACCAATTATATATGTAGATTAATTTTAATTTTAATCTCAGTTTAATTTACTTTATCTTCTAAAAATTAGAAAGATCATATCTTTTGAAATACTTATAACTAGAAGAAGATAAATTGAGCTGAAATTAAAACTAATCTACATTGATAGAAATGAACCAATATAGATTAACTTTAATCTTGGTTCAATTTACTTTTCATCATTTTTTAATTCATAGAACAAGAAAAACATTATCAAATCGAGATTAAAACTGATCTATTAATACAATTTCTATCTATGATATAATGTTTATCTATAATTTCATAGAAATAAACATAAGATTTATTTACCGAGCAATTGACCGCGGCGGCGATCTCTCGCAGGCCGAGACCGGCCTCGTACATTCCCACCATCCGATTCCTCAATTCGGGAGTCGTCTCGTGGACGCCTCTCGTCTTGCCCATCTTCCTCGTCTTCGGAAACGACGGGGATTTAAATCGCACGCGACGTGTGACGTACGCGAAAGGACGCGAATCACGTGACGAGAGGCGACCACCGATCGTCGCCTTCAAATCTCTTTCTCTCCTTCTTTCTCTCTCAAAGTTCGGCTTCGCGATCACTCGCGGGCATCCTGAAAGGATCCGGTTATCGCGGAATCGATTAACTCAACGGCGAGTGTCGTCGTCGTTCCCGGATCATCGACATCGTCGAGCATCGTCGGACAGCGTCTCGACGTCCGGATCCTCGTGTCGTTTTCTTTCACCCGCAGATGCGGGCACGTTGCTCCCACATCGGTCACCACCGTTTGCCAAACGTCGCGCCGGATTCTCTTCGGCCTCTTTGGCTCTTTCTCGCCGAAACGTGCGACTCTCCTTTTCTCACCGCTCCGCTCCTCACCACTCCGTTCCGCTCCGCGCCGCAGCCAGACGAAGGGATATACCCAGCGGGAGGGACACGCGTCCGCGGTCAATACAACTGCCGCCGAGTACAGTCCGTCGAAATTCTTTTGTCCCTCGGCCAACGTCGCGACGTCCGAGACGCGCGCGAAATGAGCGACGTGGCCGCGTCGCCGAGACGCAGATCGCGCGTAATCCAGATTCCTGATCGTCCCCGTGGCTCGCCGAACTTTCGGTTCTTCAGGTTCCTGGAGAGTCTCATCGATGATTGTCGCGCGTCGTCAATCGGAGTCCTGCGGACTGTACCGCGCCATCGTCGGTACAGTCCGCGGCGATCAACGCGAGCGACAGGTGTGCCGTTCGAAATTGCATTTCGAGCTCCCTGATGTTTCGACCTGGCGAAATTCGACAGGGCGATTGGCGCACGATATGTACCTAGTATCCCTCGTTTTATAAATAAATTAACCACGTGGCAAATTCGCGACGCGAGTCGCACGGCAATACTTGTCCTGGCCGCGGTCAATACTTGACCCGCGGACTGTACGCGGGAAAAGTACAGTCGGTGGGAATGGTTGGGATACCGAATCGAAGTAAATCGCGTCGTGTCTCATCGATTTATTCCAACATGATGCGATTTAATTTGATAAATGTTTAATGCAATCTAAACATTCGCATAATATGCCCTTCGGTTTGACCTTGTTTTTATACGACCGATCCGTTGATTGCATTATACGGAGTACGGTAATGTATGAGAGATATGCCTTTTGCGACACTTACGTCGCGTGGTCAATAATTTCACGGGCGACTGTACCGGAGAGAAGTGAGGTTATTCAGAACCCGCGTTCGGATACGCTCGCGCACCTCCGCTGGAATTGTATTGACCCAGAAAACGCACGTGTCAGCCGTGTTTTCACAGGGAGTGTGTTTTTTTTTTACTTTTACAACGCTAGCGAGCATTATTTATCCTTGTTTTTAACATTTGATAAACAATAAAAGGAGAACGAATAAGAGGGAACAATGGCTGCGCATGTAAGACTATGACTGCGCGCCACGTGAAAAGATTCATCATCATCTGCATTTCCTGGCTCCGAGCATTTTTAGGGGTCAGATCGTCAGATACAAGCTGCGGTCGATTTGGACGCTCACGCGCTTTAAGCGCTTGTAATCATTCCTTTATCATTCATTAGACGTAAAATAAGCATAGAAGTACTGAAAAGCGCTGAAAGCGTCCAAATCCACCGTAATCACAATAAAATGAAAGGAATAAACAGATTCAACTTATTAGAAATCAGATACATTAGAATACATGGTTTCTGGTTAAGTTAAAATTTATCAGATACATCATACACAGAATACTTATGATATATATTTATTACTATTCATGTTTTGAAATGTTATATAAATATTTTAGATATATTTTATATAAAGTTTATTATTTGAAATATTATTAAAATATAGACTAAATATTTTATATAATATTTATGATGAATATATGTAAATATTTATAGTAACTATTTTTTATTAAAAATATACTTATTAAATTATACTTTCATAATATTTACTACAACATTTATAATTATTTCGTAATATTTAAAATAAATGTTTATGATCTGTGAAATCTACGATCACAAAAATATTTATAAAATATTTCTAATAAGTCTTATAAATATTTATAAATATTTTGTTAACATATAAATTATTATAAATATATTGTATACTGTTGTCTGGGATAGAGAGTTCATAAAGAATCCAGTCGTATATTATCAGTTCTGAGTTTATTTTCGCAAAAGTATTGTTTTCTGAAAAGTTCTAAAAAGAATTCTTTTTGCATCTGAACTCAAATTTGATGACATACTTACGACTGAATTCTTTTTGAACTATCTATGCTATCTGTTATTTCCATTGTTTGAGCCTTTATTTTCAGCGCCCGAAATTATACGTCCAATACAAGCTATTATCGGCATCTAACTTCGAATCAGAATTCCATTTAATTTTTGTATTTATATTATAATAAAGTAAAATGTATTTTATGTATTACATTAAAGTGATGTATCTTACGAGCATATTATTTTAATTCTCTTTTTGTAAAACCTAATTTTCATAATTTCCTCCAAGATACGCAATATGTATACCTGCAGATGCAACATATGTACTCGTAGAGAGTACAATATGATGAGATGAAATAAGACTTCGACCAAATTCCGATTAAACTGATTCGAGTAGAACCATATAAAGCGAAATTTCTAATTATATAATTGCTTTTTTTTATCTAATTTTCTTAATTTTTTTAATTTTTCATTTGTTGAACAAAAAAATTAATAATTCTGTTTGCGTTAATAAAAAATAATGTGTGTATGTGTATATATATATACCTATACAAGTACAATTAAGTTAATCACTGATTAAGTTAACTATGGAGTTTAGTCGAATTATCTTTAATTATTTATTGTTGGAAACAATAAAATAGAACGTAAAATTCATTTCTATACGATTCTATGCCGCATCGTTTTATCTGCATGAAGTAGAAATGGGTTACATCGGTCAGACAGCATTGAAATAAATGTATAAATATATGTAGTAAAAAATATAATTTTTTTCTTTTAATTTTTTAAATTTACTTTTTTTTTGCAGAAAGAATTTTTCAAAGTTGTTATTTTTATGTTAATAAAAAGATGTTATAAAATAAACAAATTGATTGAAAGGATTACCAATTCTCAATTAAATTCAATTTAATATAGAAAGAAATTAATTACTGACTTGAATACCAAAAGCACTGAACAACTTTGTGGGTGTGTGTGTGTGTATGTACTTTTGTGTTCAAAATAAATATGTAATCAATCCATTACCTTCCATATTAAATTTCTTAAAGAAAAAATTAAGACAATTAATATTCGTTGCGAGAAAATTTCTCTCTTTGCTTTTTCCATAAACTCTATGAATCTTGACAGATTAATTTGCCTCTTCTATAATTTCAATTAAAAATTTTTGTTTAATCTCTTCATAATATTGTGATATTAAAAATAACTTTTTTTTTATCTTCACACACAAAACACAGATAGAACTTGTAACTAGGACAAAAATGATGATAAGTCTCGACAGAATAATTTGGTACAGCATAAAATTGCGTACGCGAAGATGAAGATTGAGGAACAGAGAGGAACACAGGAATCGTATTCGTGTCGACGTCGCATAGGATAGAGATATTACGTAGGGTCGGATCGTAAACTGGTAACATCCGCCAATCAAATCCGTCTATGTGTGTGACCTGGCCTAGAATCGAAAGCTCTTCTATACTGAGGAGACGGTAATTTATCTTTGCATGATGAAAAGAGTGCACTATATCGCGTCAGTATGACGTGGGACGTTTTGATCGCACTGTCGATTGAGTGCATCAATAAAAAGATAGAACTCCAATCGAAAAAAATCGCTAACAGTAGCACCTGTGCTCTTAAATGCAGCATGGACACAATTAGAGAGAGGCTTCATAAGGTTGGGATGCACAGCTGGAAATTGGGCAAAAAATCAAGGACTAGATATTTATAATTTCCCTTTTTAAATATTCTTTAGAAATTCCTAAAAATTTTTTTAAAAAGAGAAACTACAAGTTTGTTAAAAAATTTATTGCTATAATTAAAATATTTTCTGTAATTGTAAAAAATTTAATTTTTGTAAAATAAAAAAGGTATAATTAACGAAACGTTGAAAGGATTAAATATTCGAAAATATCCATCAGTCAGATTAAATTGACATTATTTTATCCCAGTTAAAAGGTAAATAAAAAATATTCACTTTTTTTATTTATTTAAAAAAATATTCACTATTTTTTTATTTTTATTCCTTCTCATACTCGAAATATCTTGGAATTCATATTAAATATAGTAGTGTTACGTGAGATTAATCCTACATTACTCGATGTGATTTTCTTTAACGTAATTATTCGCATGGGGTGTTTGTGAGATCCCAACATTATATATCTCTTTTTATTGTTCTTTTGAATAATTTACAATTAAATAAAAACTGATAATATATTCTATATATATCCTTTAGATAAAAATATATTTAAAAAACTATTTTTAATTTGTACTAAGTATAATAATATGTATATAAACAGCTTTAGCAAATTTTCTTATACAAATTTAATATTGAAAGTAATTACTTTCTGATCCTTTTAGAGTAAATGACACTTTGAAGAATGAAATCTCACTTAAAAAAAATATTCTCTTTTCCAAGACTAGCTCAATTTTCATTTCTTTAATTAAAGTGATATTTTACTCCAAAGAATTTAGAGAGTAATTCATTTTGAGTATTAAAAGTATTTTTAATACTTAAAATAAATAATTAATCACTATCTTTCAGTATTAAATTGGCCAATATTGGATTTTTGTAAGGACTTATAAGTATCTCATTAGATGCTTTAGATGATGAAGGATTAATAAACAATCGAATCCGAAAAATACTGATGACAGGAGCGTCTATCGAACACGTTTCGCGTGAAAACAGCGCAAGGGCGGCGCGCAAGAACGAGAGAACAAGAAAACAAGAGAGAGAAGGATAATAGCTTGTGCGACCTGCTCTCGAATCAGTTTCCAGGACGCGCGGCAGGGCTTGCAGCTTCCACCTCTGTCACTCTCTCGGCTTCTGGACCCCGTGCCTCATCTCTCATCCCGACCCCCGTTCGGCTACCCGTGTCGCCACTCAGCCTCTTGACTCTGACGTTCAGTCGCACCCTCGCCTCGCGGACGGCGCGCACTCCGTAACGTCTTCACACATCGACACGCGCCGAAAACGGGATTGCCGCGGGCAAAGATACGCTCGCACCACCGACGGCAATTAGCGAGGAGGAAGGTTCCGTAAAAGTGATAAGGAATACAATTGAGAAACACCAAGGATGAGGCTTCTCGCGGTCGCCCTGGGTTTCCTTCTTCAGGCATGGATCGTGTCCTGCGGGGTACGTGGCAAAACGGTGCTTAGGCGAATCTGGGGAGCTTGAAAGAAAATTATATCTCTTCGAGAATAAAATTAAAAGTATATCAGAAAGTTCAATAGAATTTTATTCTTTTGTAAATAATTTTTATCTAAAATCACAAAGAGGTCTGATTATATGTTTCGGAACTTCAACGAAACTTGGTAAAAACTGGGTAGAAACTTGGCAATCGGGGGTGGTTTTTCTCGATCGCTCTCAATTTTGGCGGTCAAGGATTAATTACGCGTTCTATAACTTGTACAACACTTCCTTTTGGACTCGATATTTTAAATTGCTATTTGCATAATTTTTTTTTATTTAGTGTCAAAATAGCAGAGAAAATTTTCTATGTAAGGAAATGTTTTAAATCAAAAGAGAATAACATCTTTTCTCCTTTTGTTTTTTTAATACAGCGTTATGATGTTTACGGAAATGAAAAATTAATATTAAAACAATCATAATAGAGTAATCCGATATTAGAAAAATAATAACAAAGAAGAATATATAATTATACACAGACAATTCTCTTCGCTAATGTTAGTTTTTATCATCGTAGATTAATCTCTTTAATCTCGATTTGACTTATTATTTATTTTTTACGGAAACAAAAAATTAATATTGACATAATTACAAAAATCAGATATTGGAAAATAATAATGAAGAAAAATAATTATAAATGTAGACAATATTTCTCCGTTAATTCCCATTTCTATCAACGTAGATTAACTTTAATCTCGGTTTAACTACTAACCTACTGTTTACTTTTCTAGTTCTAAATAAAAGTTAGAAGAAGATAAAGTAAATTAAACTGAGATGAAAATTAATCTACGTTGGTAAAAATGGATATAATAGTTGCTGTGTGTAAAAAAAAAAATATATTATAGTCCACCAACACAGCTGTCGCAAGAGCGTTCGTCTCTCATTACCTATCTCTCAACTACTATCTATTAGTTTCAATGACACCGATCTATTTTGCAGACAAGACCCAGCTTCGTTTCCGATCAGATGATCGCAACCGCAGCCAGTGTCGTGAACGCTTGCCAAACGCAAACGGGAGTTGCCACAGGTATATTATTCAACGAGAGAGTTCATTCACCTCAACGTGAATGAAATTATCGATCGCACTTTTAATTATCGCGACGGCGCATAAAGTTATACAGCTGATACTCGCAAAACTGACTATCCTGTTTCGAATTAAATCGAAAACTATTTCACGGAGATTCGGGAGTTCAGGACTGATTTTTTTTTCAATACTATCGATTTCGGGCAGTCGGGGATGAATTACGTGAGCGTGTTTTTCTTTCGACTCGATATTTTAAATTTATTTGATTTTTTTCTAGCGTTAAAAATGCAGAGAAAAAATTAAATTAAAACATTCTTTAACGTCTCACATGTTAAAAGAATGATGAATTTGCACTTTATTAATTAATGCGTTCAAAGTATATTTATTTCGCGTTTCAAGAAAGTAATTACAATGTAAAAATTATTTGTAAAATATATATTAATAGATATATTGAATATACATTAATATATACGGAATACGTCCTTTTTTTTAGCCGACATAGAAGCGGTAAGAAACGGTCAATGGCCGGAAACACGTCAATTGAAGGTAAGTATACGAGGCACGTGAATTACCATTTACATCTAGCAAAAAAGAAATATTATCCTATAAAGAAAAAACGATTTTGTCGAAATATTTAAAAATTCAGCTAGCTATACATCCAAAAATAATTTTGTTGAGACTTCAAAATAATTATGCAGGAAATTCAAGCATAAGCAATACTGCAAATATTTTGATATTTCAGCAATTCCAGCAAAGTTTGAGCGAATAATTATATAATTATTTCGATAGTTTAAAAAAATTATTTTCAGATCTATTTCTAGTTAAATTTTTAGATACTTCCATAAAGCTGTTCTTTCCGTGCAGCATCGCATAGTCGATGAAACAAAGATATATGTAAACTCGTAGAAATTAAAAACTGTCCGATCTGATTTCTCGTAGTGCTACATGTATTGTCTCTGGGAACAATTCGGACTGGTCGACGACAAGAGAGAACTAAGTCTGAACGGGATGCTGACGTTTTTCCAGAGAATACCCGCCTATAGAGCCGAGGTTGAGAAAGCGATCAGCGAATGCAAGGGGATCGGTAACTATTTGGGTATCTACTGTCCTTTTCTTTTTCGTTCGTCCCGTCGATCGATTGCGTGTGCTCGAAACTTCTGAAATCGCGCTGAAATTAAGTAATCCTGTTAAAATTATTACTAAAGTTTTATATTATTTAATAGCAACTTGCTTCGAAATTAAGAGGATCTGAAGCTGATATAAGAGTCTCTTACAGAAATCCAATTTAATACTAGAAGTTATATTAAGAGAAATATTTGATATAAATAACCATTTATTTTATTGATATATCATTTACGAAAATATTTCAACCAAATTTTGATTAGAAAAACAAAATTTTTTAATTGAAATAAGAAAGTTTTTTTAAGTCACATACGAACGAAATAAATAGTTACTATATCAAACGTTTCTCTCATTGTAGTTATTTTAAGTATTAAAAATACTGTTGTTTGATGCTCTCTCTGAACAATTTTAATATTCAAAATAATTATAATCTTTACCTTCTGATATTAAATTTTTATTGGGGTGGAACTGATAAAGTAACAGAATGTCTTTAATGCTCATTTCGATCGCAATTATAAAAAAAGAAAAATTGCGAATCAAAAGACTCCTTTAAATATATCTTCTCTTGAATTAATTTACATTTATGAATGGGAAGAATTATTAAAATGAAACCTCTTCAATATCGAAAGCTTCAAATTTTTCTTTCAACATTAATTATCTTTTTTTTAATTCTCCGATATGTTTTGATTGTTTCATTTTATTTTCGATTACACACGATCCTTCGTGTTCCGTTACGTAAAGCAATAAATAACTATAAATTACTTCTCTGTTTGCAGCGAAGGGCGATAATTGTGAATACGCGTACGCGTTCAATAAATGCTACGCGGAGCTATCTCCTAGGGTAAGTGATTTCGTATTGTTTAGTCGCAATGGATTATTCTCATCTCACGCGTGATCGCAATGTACATTTCAGACTTACTATCTATTCTAATGAGCGGGGCGAGGATAACAGCGTAAGAAGACCAAGAACAAAATGCTCAAAATACAATTTCGTGTCGAGATGTTTTTACGTTTAAAACCACTTTCCACTTTATCATGTAACCGCTATACATACCGTATTGCGTAAACCGTATACGAATGTGTCGATGAAATAAAGAATTCAGCGGTCTAATCGATAATCTTCGATCATCTTGCTACCTCCCTTAAAAAGGAATTATTTCTCCCAACAAAAATTTAATACTGGCCAATTTAACATCCAGAAATTATTTATTTGAACATTAAAAGCATTCAACAATAGTGCTTTTACTAGTCAAAATAAATAATTAAGCATTACCAGAGAGAGAAAGAGAGAGAATATTAAATTTCTGTAAGGGTTGTTCTTCGCTGTACATCGCATACAAACGTGTCTCACTTTTTGAAGTGCAAATAACTCTTGTAGGAATTATGATGTCAGAGATTCTTTTTTTTTCCAGGAAGACCTACGATTTATATAAAGTGTCTTTATCGGATTGATTGACAGACTTGATAAATTGATGGCGCTCTCGTTTGACAAGACCGAGTTTGATATCGCAGATTGCGGCAGTGAAACGCTCCAATTGCCGGTTGAGGTCATACTTGATGATCGAACGCAACGGAAGGAGAGGTTTACAACTATGACACACTTGAAACGTTCATTCGCAAACGAGTCCTTTGTAACGATGAGAACAGAAATAGCGGATCGTGTGCGTGTGGCAAGTGGAAGAGCATTACGATATAACGCAACGCAACTCTCCCGATGAATACGAGAAAGACGTAAAAATCGTAACTATTATATCTAGGTCATGATTATAATATTACATTCTCTAGAAAATGTGAGTGTGGATTTAACTCCTTTAGATATGATTTTGTTCAAACCATGAACAAATTTTTTTTTAATTTAATTCATGCGTGCTTCATACTAAACAATTTTTTTTTAATTTTGACTATTTTTCCAGCATATACAATTATTATATACATCAGATCTCAAATCCTAGCACACAATATTTATAAAATATTTACAAAATATTTATAAATATTTATAAGGTTTATTTTAAATATTTTGTAAATATTTTTGAGATCTTAGATTGCATAGATCATAAACATTTATTATAAACATTATGAAATATTTATCGTAAATGCTAGGGAAATACTTAACAAGACATTATAATTCAAATAAAAAATACTAAATAGAAATATTTATTTGTATTTATCATAAATATTATCTTAAATATTTAGTCTACTTTTTAATAATATTTCGAATAAAGCTTTATATAAAATATTTATATAAAATATTTATATAACATTTAAAAAAATGAATAATAATAAATATGCTGTCCAAGATGATGTCGATAGAATTAAATAATACATTGCTGATGCCTCGCTCATTGATTGCATATCTCCCTTTTTATTTTGTACTGCCGCTGTTTTCATTTTTATTTATTGCGCATCAATAAATTATTATTATTATTAGTATTATTATAAATATTAACATGGTGTGGATTTAATATCATGAGTTTTAAACTAGTGTTAAATCCACATTACATTGATGTTTACATCAATCAACACGGTGAAAATTATATGTATTTAAATACTGCATAGTGTTAAGTCCACACCCATATTTTTAGAGTGTAGATCTAGATTAGACATACATTTAAAAAAAAAACTGAGAAATTTTACGGACAATTTAATAACCCTTGTTTGATAGTAACAAATCTTGCGGTAGAAGACGATTTGACTGCAAGATTGGTTGCA